AGAGAGAGAGAGAGAGAGAGTGAACGGGGGGCGAGGAGGAGCGCGGCGTCGCGTCGGTATCGCGCAAAGTAAATTATTCGAAAGATCTCGGGAGAGAAAGAGAGAGAGAGAGAGAGAGAGAACAATCACGCCGGGGGCAATAACAACCCCGTACACGCGGTAAGGGTGGGCGAGTGGGGCCGGGGGCCGGGGGTCAGAGTCGGTTCCGACGAGAAAACACGAGGTATTTGAATAGGGTCCCGCAGCCACCCGGGCATCATGATGCGGAATCCATTTGCAATAAACAACGGAGATTTAGATGGGGCGGCGGGAGGGGTGGTGGCGGGGTGAGCAACAAGGAGGAGCATAGGTCGACGTAACGTCGTCGTCTGAGGTGGGTACTTACGCCACCGAGGGGACTTCGGGGCCGTCGTGTCTTCGAGTCGTGCATTCTATACGAACAGCGCCTCTCATCCTGGCTCGAGCTACAAACGCGGGTGGAAAAATTAGCGCGGTGGGAAAAGGCGCAGCGGCTTGGAATTTCGCGATTTTTCTCGAATTTGCGAGCAACGACCGGTGCGCGTTGCACGATTTCCACGATTTCGTTGATCCGCGTCGACCGTTTCCCGGTCCCTTTAAACCAGACAGCCCGGACTCGACGAGGACACGGGCGAAAGGACGGATGGAACGAAAAGCGGAGAAAGAGTGACTGGCGTCGAAGCGAATCGCTGTAGCGTTTAACAGGCGAGCAACGACGCCGACGACCGACTTTCGTCTGTCCGGCAGGCATCCGACGTTCGCGGTAGCAGAGTGCGCGCGTATGAGCGCCACTGAGCGTAATGCAGAGTTTATGCACATCTCTGGCAAGTAAGGAAGGAGCCGTAATTTCCCCGGCGGCCACCGTGGCTCTCGGTGGCGTTACCTGTCCTCCCTCTCCTTCCTTCCTTCGCTCGCGCTCCCTTCGTTTCCCTTAAACCCTCCGCCTCTCTCTCACTCTCTCTCTCTCTCTCTCTCTCTCGCCCCTTCCTCCTCTCTCCCGCCGCCGCTCTATCCCGCTTTTCTCTTTGTCCCCTGTCCCCCCGACCCTCTGTCTCCCGGCCCCTCTGCCCCCGTCCCGCCGTCGAGTACGTACGTGTACGCGCACAAGCGCACACGACGATTCCTTCGCGTCCATCATCCAGCATCCACCATCCGACGAGTACGACCGAGCACTCTGCCACGCTTTAATATTCAGACTATATGCAATAATTTCGCGGCAACCATAACGTCTCCCCTACCACCCTCCGCGTCCGCTTTCTCGCGACAGACCGTACACGCTCCGCGCTTCTTCCTCGCCTTCCTCCTCCGTTTTTTACGTCATCTCTGCTCTCCGCGAGTTTATCCGCGTACCCACCTCGTCCTCGTCCTCGTCTTCGTTTTCCTCGTGCACGTGGAGGATCGACCGTGGTCCACCGTTCCGACCGATTCCGTTTCGATCTCGCGCGGAGAGAATCTCGGTATCCCGGTTAAACGCTCCGGTTAGAAGCGTGGCCGTTGGCGCAGCGCCGTGGAACGTGCGTGCGCGAGTTTTCGCCGCGAATCTGCTGTTATACTCGAGAGAGCCCGGACCGTAAGACCGGAACGAACCGGGGAGCGATACAACGAGATACGCGTGTACGTCGGCCAATGGTTCGTTGCGAATTCGTCGGCGCGTCTCGTCCAGGCATCCGCGTTCCTATCCGCGGTCCGATCGCGGGCAGAGAATCGCAGATGGAAAATCGTAGCCGAGTCCAGGGGGGTGCGTGGACGCGCACACCTGTACGCGGCGCGCACGTGTGCGTGCGTGGCATTAGACGAAAGACAATAACCCCGCGAGAGTGATAAACCGTGACGCGTGTATACGAGCAATATAGAGGCGAAAGGAAGCTAACGCGTCGACACGGGAAGCCTGGAAATGGTAGGGGGCTTGAAAGCGTCCCTCGCCGCGAATATATCCACAAGACACGACGTGGTTTTCCGGCGAACAAGCCAGGACTAGAGAAATCGGGAGGGTGAGCCGTGGAAGGGGGACCGAGGAGCGTCGCTGGCGTGTACGCTCCGAGGTAGCTGCCGCGAGGGTAACTAGGCGTTAGTGCCTGCCGTCGTCGCGAATATCGTCCGTCTCTCCGCTCCCTTTCCGCCTGACGATTACGAGACGCGATTTCGTTCGGGGATCGCCTTTTTTCTCCTCGCCACCTTCCTCGACCCCGTTTTCCCAGGCGTCGCGACTCGCGAATTTATCGGCGAGACACCCCCGCTGGCGCGGCACCGGCGCGGCGCGCTCGCGTCGGGAATCACGAGCGGCGGATTAAATTGGTTTCCGGTGGCGTAGCCGAGAGAGAGAGAGATTCGCGGCGACGGGACGAAACGTTGCGAAGGATGCGCAAAGGTCTCGCGATGCGAACAACGTCGCGTTCGGGGAAAGTGGCGTTTCCATTGGAAATCGAGGCGGACGCGCGCGCGCGCGCGCTCGCGGCCATCGGGTCGAGCATTCCGCTTTCATCCTCGCGTCTTTTGCTTTTTGTTCCGCTCGTATCGCCCCGCTTTTTGTGTCTCCGCGCTTCTCCATGCACCTCCTCGATTCATACAATTTCACGGTCGGCTTGGTGCTCGAGCGCCTATCTCCCCGCATCCTCCGGCCGCCT